AGCTAGTAATGACTTAGCAGACAGGAGATGTTTGTTTCTCGTCTGTCTTCAAACATAGACCGAGAAGAGAATGCAGAATGTTTTTAGATTTAGACCTGAAAGCAAGCTGACACATGATGAATGAACTGTTGCTGCTGCTGTGCACCAACATGTTAGTTTGAATCCATTTGCAGATGTAGCTATCCATGTTGCGACAAATGCCTTGTCTTTTACTGGGACGGGATCATGTCTTGTGGGGGATGGTTCAGTCCATCAGATAGACAAACTTCTATCTCCATCTAAGGGAAGAAGCCACTGATCACCTGACTTATCTTGTACCAATAGAAACATTTGATAACATTTTGAGAAACTCTCCTCTTTTTGAAGATTTTAATCAAATCAAACTGGGACATGATTTTCCTCTGTGTCCCTTGTGTTTTTTTTTTTGTTTTTTTTTCAATCTGCGCAGTTAACTGTGCCAATACATTCCTCTCGACATGAATACAAAGATTATGTGGGGAACATTTTTGCCCGATAATAAACGCTGTTGAGAATTCCTGCGTAGGTTAAATTAGATTCCACAAATCTACGGTGTGCAGTTATGAAGTGTGAATACCGAAGGTTGTTTATCTGGATGAAATGGAATTAATAACGTGAACACTTAGTTTAAGCCCCCCTTTTCTTTCATGATAAGAATTGGATTATCACCATTTGTCCCTTGTACAATACTCAAAGATAAAGGACTTTACTGCGACCAGCACAGTCCTTTATCACAGCAGGATACCTCTCATGTCCTCTGTTGTAGAGCGCTGACTTTCCTTTGTAGTGGCACTGTTGTAATGAAGCAGTGATGGGAGCGTCTGGCAGATGCCTCAGCCCATAACCGGCACAGTGAAAGCAGATCTGTGAGGAGATGGGCCTCGAACAGTGATGGATGAATTGGGCACATTGAATGATGAAATTCCTTCCACTCTAGTTCTCTCAACAGGCTGACGCACACCACGACCAAAAGCCACTGCCGAGACCCACCGCCACCGGTTACTGACAGAGGCCCAATTTCACTGCCGACTGGAAGGGGTTTCAAAAAGGACTGGGTCAAAACTGAAGCAGAAGTGTACAGTTCTAAAACTTTTAGCCCTCAAATCCGTCGGGGGTTCTCCATGTAAGCGAACCTCCTTTTTACAGAGCAGGTCGTTGCCATAAAGTGCAACAGAGCAATGAAGTGTGGGAGCGATTGCCACGCATGACATTAAACATGGAAATGTGGATCACTGGAGGAGGTTTGTTTCATTCCTCTCTTTTTTTTTTTTCTTTTTCTTGCTCACTTGCAGTCCACAACATACAGGGACTGGTAGGACATCAATGCAGGCATTGATCCTATTAAAAAAAGAAGTAGCGTCATATCTTAAAATAATCAGCATTTTCTTTGATCAGTGAGGCGATGCGATGCAATTTCAACCTTGGTATGTCCATGCACGCTGATCTACTGGCCCCACATTGGGCTGATTTGCTCTTCTTCTGGATATGGATCCGCAGCCATGCGTGATCCAATTAGCATGATGAGCACTGGGTGTAGTGTGAGGCTAATGTCTGCATGTCCAAGAGAGTTAATGGATTGTTAGTATGGATTTCCAGCTTTCTCTGGAGCCTTAACAGTTGGTGGGCTCCCTACAAGGGTTATTGCCGTCTTTAAACCGCTGTGTAACTATATAGCCAGGCCTCCTGCTCAGCTTTATAGTTACAGTCTGTTGATATTGATAATGAATAGAGGCCCCCTTAGAGAAAGCCGGGGATGGCAGCATGCAATCTTGATGCAGTGAATTAGCTCCTGACTGCTCTATTGGACAGAATGTTCTAATTACTCCAACATAAATGTTTAAATCAGTAAAAAAAACTAAAAAAGACCAGCTTGGGCTGCAACTAACTGTTATTTGAATGTTAATCTTCTGAATATTTTGTTAATTCATCTTTTTGTTTAAAACATATCTATAGTATATTATTTGATTTGATAAATTTAAAAAAATGATCAATTATCCAAAAAGTTGACAATTACTTCGTCAGGAATGGTCGGACATTCATAGAAACTCTTAGTTGATGTCTTGCTGAGAGTTGGATAAGAAGATTGATACCACTCGGACATCTGTTCATGAAAAAAGAAGCTTCAGTCAGTTAGCTTAGCTTAGCATAAAGACTGGACAAAGTAAAAGTAACAACATCCGACTACCAGCATCGTACAAAAAGCTAAGCTAACAAGCTGCTGGCTGGATAGCTTCATATTTTATGTACAGTTATGAGAAACTATTTTTAAAAAAAAAACCTTCTCATCTAACTCTCTGCAACAAAGCAATTAAGTGTATTTTCCCCCAAACTAATCCTTGAATCTTCTCGGCTCTACATACAGCAGGACATAAAAAACGAGTCCCGTTCCAGACTAATACAACTTGACAAGGTCACAAAAATATCCTCAACGTCATTTCTCCACGACTTTTTTTCCCAAGCAGGGTCTGATTTATGGTGTTTTTTTAGTATCATGTCACATTGTGTATTTATTGTCTCGGCTATAATGGACAGCCTGCGGCGTCCAACCATGAAACCGTGTTTTTTTTTTTTTTTGTTTTTTTTTGAGGGAATGGATCGCTGTGGCATGCGATCCTAGTGTTTCCTATCCACGAGGAGGACGCTGGTATTGTGAGAGCTATTGTCGTCTGTGTTTTGGGGGAAGATTTTGGTTTTACAAGTACAATGAAAACTCAACGCTCGGCTGTGACGAGATTCCCCCTTTGCCACCCCACCCTTGCACAATGAATTCATGTTTTTCGAGTTGCTGAAAGCCATTTGACGTTTGTTTGCGACAGACTCCAGGACATGTAGCTTTTGTAGTTACAAGGTCAGTCTATTCCCCCCCCCCCTCCCTCACTGAAATCATAACAGCCCTTTCATTCTAAAGGCAGATCTAAACCCTTGAAGGATTTCGCACACTCTGATCTGCAGCCAAATCACCAGGCAGACATGATTCGAGGATGCAGTGAATTAGTGGCAAGACAAAAAGGAGGAATTAGTTCTGCCCCTGAGATCTCTCAGCTGCTCTCTCTCAGCTGCAACGTGAGAGCACTGAAACAATGTGGAAAGCCTTAGATTTGGTACACATCTTCTTCTACTCTTAAAATAAGTATTCCTTTGTATCAATTATCTCAATATGATCTTAGGGGATGTACATTAACCTGTAGTGTAGTTTCTATTTTTAGCCTCACGATCCACATATTTTTCAAACTCCTATAACCTCAGTGTGGAAACGTCTGGGCCTTGACATGGAATACATTTCTTGACATATTAGTGCGAGTGCAGAACCAATCCTCCTATCACTCTGCTTTGTTCTTCTTCTCTCTTGTGTCTCTCTCGTACTCTCTTCGGCTAAATCCGGCCCTGAATCTCACATCAACCCCAGGATGACAGCGGCAGGCGGCCTGAGTGAAATGGCTGCAGTTAAACAGATTCGGTGTCGGGCACGTTAGCTTTCGGAGACAGTCACAGTTAATGCCCCAAAACCTCATCAATTTGTGAGCCGTGATTGAGTTTCCAGAGCAGCGTGGAGCGTGTGTTAAAGCTGTTGACTGTGGCAGACGCTGAAGTTTGCTTTTGAGGGACTTCCAGACCAACATAGTCGGGAGGCTCCGGGTTGTCTTGTCCATGGGACGGACCGTTTGACCCGCTGTCAGAACAGGCCTGTGGTTGAAATCTGAGGAGTATCTGTGCAAAGAGGAGACACACAATATGAGTAAAACATACGGGGTCTGCAAGCTTTCCTCTCGCTTATTTAGTCTGCATATCAGTCATTGTTCACGGCCCCTGCTCAGTGTTCTCACAAAAAACGTCATCAACCTGTAACCAAACTCCCAAGCTTAAGTCACCGAGCCTCAAGAAGGGCAGCGCTCACTTCATTTGGCACGCAGCTTGTTAAAATAACTACTGCAGCATCCAGACAACACTAATCATTATGTTATATGGATACTTATAAGTTTGGCTGGGTACAGCAGGTAATAAATTAGACGGTGTTAAGCGGGTCTATTTGGCAAAGATTGAATCACAGCATCACGGCTTCAGAAACCTGAAGCATATCACTTTTAAATAAGGGGATCACACCGTCATAGTAGTGTGATGTTTCTGAGCTGGTATGGGATTTCATGCGAGGGATTCCCCTCTTCTTCGTCTGCGCTCGCTGAAGCAGCAGCATTGCACAGTGCCAATTGCCGCTCTTTACAAGTCACGGATATTTTCTATTCAGGGCGTAGGGCTCTTCCCTCTGATGTGTAAAGTGAGTCTTGGATATGTGAAATGCTTGATCTGCTCTTTGATGTTGAGGACTACACTGATCGCTGAACTATATAAATGGCGTCAGTTCACGCACAGATTTCTGGCTTTAAAGGATCTTTTCTGACTTTATGAGGCCGTATTCATATCGGCTAATTTATTATGATTAAATGTAAGGCCGATGAGCCCTGGTAAATGGCTGTGGAAGCTTGAAATGTCTCCAATAATTCATAGGGTTGCACACTTAGGATTCAGACATTTCTTCTTTACTGCAGAGCAAAAGCAGCTCTTTTTACAGCTGCTTTTACTCTTATTCATGACTCAGCAGGGACAGCATGAGTTTGCTCCAATTTAGCCTCGCTTTAAAAAGTGCAGCAGTTTGCTTCTCCCCCTCTGCTAATTCACCTCAGGGCTCCAGTATTTTTTTTTTATTCTACCCCCTAGTCTCCTGAGTCTCCTTTTAAACAGAAGAGAGGGTGTTTGTCCTATAAAATACATTTAGTACTCAGCTGACATTTGTTTCGTTTATACTGCAGTATTTTAGGTGGAAATACTACACTGCGTAGCTGCAATGAAGACGTACTTTATGACTGGGTTGAACGTTTTGTTTTTTTCCAGCGCTGAAATTGAAACGCATATAAATGTTTCCATCAACGTTTTTTTTTTGTGTTTTTTTTTTTTTACTACCTCTCCTCGTCTTTTTCTCTCCACAGATGAAGCTGTGGAACAAGTACAAAGTAACTAGTATCCCATCTCTGGTGTTTGTGGATGCAACGACGGGAAAGGTGGTTTGTCGAAACGGTCTACTGGTGGTCAGAGATGACCCTAAAGGTGAGATCAGCCACACGCACGCACGCACACACACACACACACACACGGTATATTATTAGTGAAGGCATCAGGCTGATTTATTTTTATCCCCTGACCTCAAGCTCTAACCATAATCCTCTTTATTAAATGGTTAACCCAACCACCCGCCATTGAACACAAAATTATTACAGTTTAATGAGGTAATAGGAAGTCATTTGAGGATCAAAAGGATCAATTCCTCACACACTTTGTAACTCTGCATGACAAACACTTTCTGTGCTGTGAGAACGATTGGAGTAATAATAATAATACTTAAAATGATATATTATTCCAAACTAACTTACCACAGGGTTTGTACTGCTTAGTTACGCTAACATAAATGAGTGAGATAAACTTCAGAAATATAAGTAAAGCAACGTGTAGATGTACAGAAGTCACACCTGCATGCACACGGACACAACACTTTCTCTGTCATGCTGTTTACCGAATGTCTGCTCAGAGTGGCGATATTGCAGTGCCACATCATGCAGCATTTGGTTAAACATTTTGCAGCAACTTCCCCCCCCCCCTTCTACTCGTTTGTGTTGATCCAGCCGTAATTATGGTTCTGCATGAATATTATAGCGTGTCCACGTCTCACTCCCTCATCTGCAAACCCTATAATTTCTGCACTTTGAAGTGGAGACGGAGAATTAACAAGAGTGAACTTGCATTCCTCTCCCTGCGCAGATGACGTCCTCTGTGGCTGCGAAGATCTCAATATTTGAAAACGGTGCTTCTTCACACCCTGTTGGGTCAGCGTGAAAGGAGTGCCTTTAGTCATGTGAGAAGGGAGAATAGTGGCTGTGTGGCAGCGGTGAAGCAGAATGGATTTCACGTGGGAATTGTGAACGATTTCGCTGCCTGGTTAATGAAAGCCAGTCGGAGCCTGCAGAATTATCCATGATTCATTAACTGTTTTTCCAAAACTAGATGAGGAGAGCAGATTAATCTCTGGACTGAGTACCAAATATGTGCACATGCACTTGATTATGCCTTAACAGGCTCACTTTTTTATTTTTTTTATTGTACATTTTGATCCGTTGTTGTTATTTGGAAGGCAAACTGAGAGCAGTTCCTGATGTGACGCATCAATTCAGCTGCAGCAGATTTGGTTAGAAAGAAGAAAAAGCGCACTAAAGTTTACCGTACATCGAGACTGGGAGGGGGGGGGGGGGGAACGATTCGGGGCCCTCTGCCTTTCACTCTCGATGAAAGGCCTGACTTGAGTGGCGACAGACTAGCCTGCAGCGCAAAGATGGAGTGCACTTTTATCATCAGGAGAACAATAAAAGGCCGTGTCAGCGCGGTGCAGATGTGTCATTCCGGCCTAATGAAGCCCTAGACAACCACGCTGGCATAAAGAGCCCATTATGAACCAGCCATACAAGGCTTTATTTATGATTACCCTCCTTTTTAATTTGGCTGCGGCAAATGCATCTCTAGAGCTTGACGGTAACAATGAAGACACCTTGAAAAGGAAATGAAAAGTGTGAGGGAGAACTGGGGGGCAAAGTATTTCTGGTAACCTTTTATTTGAGTGAGAGGCTTGGTTTTCAGTCATCATTAAAACTATATTTTGAATCCAGTGAGTATTTCCAGTCGCAGATGTGGGGGGAAAAAACCCTGTAAGTGTACATGACGAGCCCACGTGACTCGTTGTTATCTGACAGCCATGACACAGACAGAGCTGCAATGATTAGTCAACTAATTACATAAAATAGTATTAATAATTAAGTCCATTCTATGCCCTTTATCACTTAGAGTACTTTTTTGGATCAATTAATCACAACTCTTTGAAAGCATGCGTCATACTAGCAACAGGGTCACCCACACCCCCTCACTAAGGTAAAGGTTTCTGTCCCTTCCTTTCTCAGAGTTGATCTTAGAAGTATTCTAAATCTCTCTGAGAGTATTCACAGTATGGTTCGTGAATACAGCCCCTGGTTTCAGCTTCTCAAACGTGGATATTTTTCTGCTTATCTACAACTGTAAATTGAATATCTTTGGGCTTTGGTCTTGTTGTCGGACAAAACGAGACATTTGAAGACGTCCCCTTGGATTTTGGGAAAACGATTAATCGAGAAAGTATTTGACTGATTAATCAATAATGAAAATAATTGTTGGGAGCAGCCCTGCTTTTGCATCTTACCTGAAATAGTTTTAAATGTTTTTAAACTACTCTAGAGCCGGCAGTGGATGGCAGCGTTGGCCAGTTGGTCTACAGATTAAAATACTTCGACAACTATTGAAGAGATTCCATCAATGATATTTTGTAAAGACATTCATGTTCCCCTCAGAATAAATTGTAATAACTTTGATCTCCTCACTTTTCATCTAGCGCCATAATCGGCTCAAATTTTGTCCAGTATTTTAGTTTTTGACCAAATATCTGCTAACTTAATGATTTTCCCATTAGCCTCAGCTAATTATTTTTATTAGCAAAACTTAGACAAGGTGAAAATGGTAAACATAAGACATGCTAAACATCAGCATGTTTACGTTGTCATTGTGAGCATGTTAGCATGCTGATGTTAGCATTGAGCTCAAAGCCCTGCTATTCTATGTACAGCTTCACATAGCAGCTAGCAAAGCATCTTTTTCTGATTTCTTTTCTTTCTCATCCGCCCCCTCTGCTTTTGTACCCTCCCAGGCCTGGAGTTCCCCTGGGGGCCGAAGCCATTTGCGGAGGTGGTGGCAGGGCCTCTGCTCAGGAACAACAGGCAGACAACTGACAGCAGCTCTCTGGAGGGACACTATGTGGGAGTGTACTTCTCGGCACACTGGGTGAGTACAGGGGACAGAGGGAAAAAAGGACGGAAAGACCCTGTTTTCTTTTTACGTTTCTGGCCTCCTAGCTCTGTCAGAACACCGAAACATTGGTGAGAAAGGGCACCGGCAGCAGAGCGGAGCAGGAAGGGACAGCAGTTAGGCAAGACAGATAAGAGAGAGTAGCAGGAGGGTGGAGGCGACTCCATTGTGTTTGTGTGTTTACACTAACGGTGGTTAGCTATCCCTGTCAGTCCTTTCACCACCACCTCTGGACCTTTTTTAAAGTAGGGATCGTTCACCAGACCCCACTGACATCATCACTATTGTCTGCTTCTCTGATGGACCTGCTGATAGCCCGTGGAGGTCATGACTCAGTGATGCATGCTGGGCGTTACATCATCAGTGGGCGGTTCCTGATGAGATGCAGCGCCGGCTACTGAGGTCAGTCAGCACGGCAGCTGCCAGAGCCGCAGCCTCAGAGACCGGCTCTTCAGAACGTTGACGCCTGAAGGCTGGCTCAAACCCCAGACCCATACAAAATTGAAAAGGACAAGTCGCAAAAGCCATTACAGTAGTTTATTTGCGGTGTTTTTACATCATATTCCCCCTGGTTACTCGTGTAAATCAATCCACTATTAAAGTCATTTTAAAAACATGGAATGCCAGCACCTGGCATCCGTTTGCATAGACGTTTTATTGTTTTTTTCCCCTTAGTGTTCGAGGGACCTGAAATGGCCCGTGGCAGAGAAACATGACCTGTATTTCACTGCATTTGCTTTTTTTCGCCTGCAGGGTGAGGGACTGTTACTTTTAACTCATTACCATAAAACTTTAGCTGAAAGTTTTAGTCACAAACGTTGGCAAGAGAAGCCCAATTAGGACAGCTTCATGAGGCTTTAGCACTGACGCCACATTGTGTCAGCTATGATATCGCATAACTACAATATACAGTGTTTACTTCTATGACAAACCTGAGGAGTCAGTTGATGAGCAGTGAATTGATCGAGGCTTTGTGCTTCACACTCTCACTCCCTTTGTGTCGGTATGATGACTCGATCAATGAAAGTGCTTGACATACTGTGTCCACTATCAGCAGCTTGAATGATAGATGATATAATTTAATAGATGATGGATAATATTAATGAAAACTTATTTTATGTATTAGTTTTTGACATAAACCTGACAAAAAACCTTTGTACACAAAGACGTTTAATATACAAAGCACACTTACACCTTCATATACTCTCATGAACGTGACTTCAAAATAAAAGCCTGTGCAGGAGACGTAGGAAAGCTTGTATAATGACCTCTCCTAAAGATTAATGGCAAGATAAAAAGATTACATGAATTATGATTAGAAGACGAAAAGAATGTGTAATATAATAATGTTAAAATCATTATGTTTGACCAAATACTTCTATTGATAATCTGCCAATATTTTACAGATGACTAATTCTGCTTCTATAAGATCTTTTGTGCCAAATTGAAAAAATAGACAAGATGACCAAATAGGTTATGGCATTTATAATATATAATTTATCTTCGTTAGAGCAGTCTAAGTGGATTAGACAATGTTATCGCCTGTGTGAAATCTACTCGTCATTTCTCTGAAACGCACTGTAGAGAAAGTTTTCCCAACGTCTCTCGTCCCAGAAGGCAAACTTCGAGGAGGTTTTCCAAGAATGTTACCCCCCCCAAAACATGAATTGCACAAGTTCCTTTCCCCGTCTGATATAAATAGACCCTGATGTCATCTTTTAATGCTGGCCATACCACCCTGCCTGCAAAGAGTGTGCTCTCCAAACACACTCAGAGCAACACGTTCTCAAGCTACAGTATTAGAGCAGGATTAGTGGTTTAAGATGTCTATATTTAAAAGAAGCTGGATACAAAACAAGAGACAATTACTAGTTTGTGGAAAGGTGTACGGAAATAACCAAAATAATTGAAGCAACCAATCACATTTGTGATGATGTGTACTGTATAGTCACTCATTCACTCCCTTTTACGTTCTCTAATGTTTCCTCTTTCTCTCTCCGTTAGTGCCCCCCATGCCGCAGTTTGACCCGGGTGTTGGTGGAATCATATCAAACCGTAAAAGAGTCGGGTCAGAAGTTTGAGATCGTGTTTGTCAGCGCTGACCGGTAAGATTCACCGAGGCAGAACGCAGACAAGATCATATTAATCGACACACACGTCCATCTCTATCTGTCAAGGACACAAATGAAGTCTTCTCTCTATATTCAGCTGTTAAACACCAACTGTGGCGTTGCTGTTCGGTGCTTTCCCCCCCTCCAGGTCAGAGGAGTCCTTTCAGCAGTACTTCAGCGAGATGCCGTGGTTGGCGGTGCCATATTCAGACGAGGCTCGGCGGTCACGACTCAACAGACTCTATGGAATACAAGGTAATTTACAGCCAGCTCATCCTTATAAATGTTGTTTCAATTCTTCAAAACTGGGAGGAGCGAGTGTAGATTCGTTTTCCCTGCAGAGCTCAGTGAGTTCACACACTTAAACACTGGCACAATGGCTGACAGCTCCCTGTGCTGGGCATGCAAACGGAAAATTAGATTGCCCCGCAGCCTGAGGAATGTGGGCCGGTTATCAAGTTTACGGTCTTGTTTGCTGCGGAAGTGCTGCGCCTCTCTGTGCCCTGCTCTTTTCTTCCTGGTGCGTGCGTGTGTGTGCTTGCGTGTGCGTGGGCGTGTGCGCGTGCGCGCGCAGAGGGGCTGTGGATGAAGTTAGCAAGAGCTGGCTCTCTTCTGCAAAGTATGTGAGGAATGCATGGAAGACAAGTCAACACTGCCCCCCCCCCCCCCCCCCCCCCCTCCCGCATTTCAAACCCACGCAGTTCATGACGGCCCCCACCTCTGTTGACACACTCACTCACGTATACACTGTTCACTCCCGGATGGTGTCTGTTTCTGATAAGGCTGTTAATAAGGCAGGGAGATTGTAATCAGAAGGATGGTGGGAGCCAATGACATGTGGGGGGGAAAAAATGTGGGCACAGACAGAGAGGTGAAAACTGGTCAAAAACATCTGCACAATAAAGAAAAATCTCAATGGGTGAGGAAGCAATCTGCCTCACGAAGCGATAATTAACAGAAATGACCCCAACTACATCTGACGGTCATGCCCATTTCCTGCCCACCTCTCTTTGTCTTCCTCTCCCACCGCCTTCACCTCCCCTTCCTCCCTCACCAGGTATTCCCACGCTGATTCTGCTGGACGCAGAGGGTCACATGATCACGCGACAGGGCCGCGTGGAGGTGCTGAACGACCCGGAGTGCCGGCTCTTTCCCTGGCACCCTCGCCCCGTGCTGGAGCTCAGCGAGTCCAACGCCGTGCAGCTACACGAGGGGCCCTGCCTCGTCCTGTTTGTGGGTGAGTAGACCCGGCATTCATGATTCAGCTCCGCATGGGGCTCTGCCGGGAGCTCCTTGTGCGTGAATGGAGTGGCATTTATGTGGAGCGTATTGAATGTCAGACTCTGCGGAAAAAATCTTGCAGTGTTTAAAGGTCCAAAGGTCTGTAGGAAATATAGGAAGTATTTATCTATTTATATGCTAATACAGAAGGTTTGTGAATAGCATAGAAACATAACTTGAATGAACGACAGTTATTGGTTTTGTGAGGACTGACGGGAACTAAATGCCAAAGTTGGAAAGTGGTGAGCCTCAAAATTTGAGACCATCCTTGTGTCTCTTGTGGTCAAACTGGATATTAGAATAAGACAAAGTCCATCTGTGCACTTTCTTTTATGTCCTCACTCATCTGTCCACAAGTCATCTCTCTTTCCTTGCGTACCATTTCACTCATCTGTGCATTTTTTCCTCTCCCGGGTGGCTTTTTTTTTCTCCAATACTTCTAACGTCGTTCTGTGTCTCTCTTCTGGTTGGCTCAGACGCTGAGGAGGAAGGTGAATTGGAGCCGGCCAAGGAGCTGATTCAGCCAATAGCGGAGAAGCTTATGGTCAAGTACAAAGCAAAGGAGGAGGAGATGCCGCTGCTGTTCTTTGTTGCTGGAGAGGTGAGATAAGACACTCGAGACGGAGTAAAATGTCATTTCACACAAACTAGCATAGCTGAAGGTGGGTCATTCTTGCGTGGTGTACAGTAACTCATTCGTGACTGCTTGTTGTGCTACGCTTGGCAAAGTGCTTTAGTTATGACATATAGTATACTACCTGACTGATACTGGAGTTTTTGAGGCCAATTTATATTGATATTTCAGAGTTTAACCTGATTTATTTACATTTAATCAGAGTATTTACATAAACATGTAATATAAACAATAATGTAGTATTCTCTCTGTTTTTGGTCTCCACCAACTCTTGAGAAAACAAAATCTGTCTCTTTAGCTGATAAATACTCCACAATTCTCAACAGCTCGTCACTAACTGTATCCGTTCGCCGTTTGGTGGTGAGCCGGTAGTGTACAGTTTGTTTTTAGGGCATTTTCTCTGAAATTGGAGGCGATGAAAGTGACCAAAACGGTGAGCTAAAATGTTCTGTCGAGCTGAAGGAAATTGCAGAGTCAGGTGATCATTTTCAATGGGTTCACCACAACGACAGCAGCTTTTCAAAAAAGTATAGGATCCATTGTTGATATGAAAATATTTATTATAGCCACGTTAACTTTGGTTATTAAAGAATTCTGAGGTATATTTACTGAGAGGGACACTTAACAGTTGAAAAATAAACAAACTGTGGAGTGGAAACACTGTTTACAACAACACAAGAGTCCAACATATCCAATGTAAATCTGCATTTGTCAGCCTACACGTAGGACAACGATACCAATGTATCTGAAATGAACTAATATCAGCCAATATTTGGCCATGCAGTCGGGCTCTGATCCCTACTGTGAATCTGCACCCAACACCTCAGCCATTGTTGAAATGACTGCATTAGAGGCCCCTCTTTGAGCCTCTTGAACCCGCAAGAGTGACACTCACTCCTATCTATGACCCAGAATTTATCATAACGGGTAGACCCAGAGCGTGCCAGCAGGCTTTCTCTCGTCCAAATAATCCTTCCATCTCCTACTGTATCTCCTCCCCCGTCTTAATTTAGAAGTTTTCATAACTCCTGTTATCTCATGTTGTTCTGTCTCGACCTCTCCAGAGCTGGAGGAGTTAGCAGCAGCGGCAGACCTAATTACCAGATTAGCTACCTCTCCCTTACTATCAACCCTCTAGCTCCCTTCCTCGCAGTTCTCTCTGCCCGGCAGTCTGGGAGGGCAACGCTGGTCTCTCGTATCACACACCGAGGGCAAGCTCAGGTTTCGTGGCCGAAGGCTTGCACATGTGCTAACTATCCTGTGTGTGTGTGTGTGTGTGTGTGTGTGTGTGTGTGTGTGTGTGTGT